GTTATGTTGATTTGTCCATAGGAGTGTTGGAACTCCACTCACCCTTCTAGATCATATTCGTTCTCTCAACATCATAGCAGCTCGTTGCCGCTTGGTTTCCCTTTATTTCTTTTATTCTATTCGGAGCAGGGTAACGAAGCACCTGGTGATAGGTTGAGGGAACGACTATCATCTTGTGGAACAAGTTCTAGATGAGAATGGCATTATGAAGACTTTAGCAGTCTATAATATGGAAGGTCACCAAAATGTTGTATGGCTTTGCCTAAACTGTCAATTTCAACGTACCTAAAAGCTGGACATGGGTCCCCTTAATGGTATGGAGGGTAATTTTTCCCTTATTAGTGGTGTCGAGAATTCTCATCTTCTCGGCTGCGTCTTTGAAAAGGGCATTGACTCCTGATCCATTATCCACTAGGACTCAGCTAAGTAACCAACCATAGCGTTAGAGATGTGTACCTCAACGACAAGAGCGGCGTTCTGAGGAGAGTAAACATCTCCTAAGTTTAGATCAAAGAACACCAGGATGTTAGAATCAATGAGTAATGATTTGTTGATTGAATCCCTATGTTTTGGCTAGAAGATTCATGAGTTATATCTTAGAGTAGTCTCGTTCCACTCTGGAAGGTTAGAGATCTCTTGTTGTACACTCACATGTCTCTATGAATAAAACAATGACCCCAACAATGCCTAAGATGAGGCATGTACTTTGTTACTTGTATGTTCTTACATGACATTCATGTGAGAAATCTTTCTTGATCGTTGTTCAATATATTCAAGAACCCTTTGAGCACTTATGAATTTGTGCTAATGTCTAACACGAATGACTTGACAATCTTATGGCTAGGAATGTTTTGGGAATGAGTATAAGAGAAAGGTCTATTGATCTAACATTCTTAGATCACTTGTCCCTTAGGTTGATTACATTCCTTGGATTCCATTATTGATTAAACACATAATTCATTAAGTAGTGATTAATTATAAACATTGGCCTTCCATTAAACTAAATAAGAGTTTAGCATAAGTGTTACAAAAGCTATTTACATCAAATGAGTAGCTTTATGGACATACATATAACAAAAGGTGTTCCAATAATTCGTACAAGGTTTGAAAGTCTTCAACTATCCCGAGCTCTAAACTTTGTATATTAAGTAAGAGCATTCATTCATGCATTTGAATGGAAAAATGTTACTCATCAATGCGTCACTATGTATGCCCTTTAGAACTTGAAACCAAGCAAAGGGAACTTATTTGGTGGAGGTACGACAAAGGCTTATGGAGCTGGAAGATCTCTAGTGAATTTGCAGGTCTCATTGTTTAGTTAGTCCTGGTACAGTTTCTTGGATTCGCATACCTCTTTGCTCAACGTCATTCGAGGATGAGCTCCAATCATAGTCGATGCATCTAGTTTAGTAGTCAAGGGTGTTTCTGGTTTTACGAGGCCTGTGAGTTCGTGGACCAATGTCTTGTTAGTGTCTCTGTCATGTCGATGTGATTTTGTTTTGTTCATTCACGAAAAATTTGGTGTTGGATCTCCAAGGAGTACAGGGATTTGGTTATTTATTGGCATGTGGACGTATGGATCATTCTCTGGATGAGTGATCTTAGTCTTGAATCTTCTTGACCTCTGCTTGTGTCTCGACCAAGTCTAGAATCTTCTTAGAGTTCTAAGAACATTTGCTTGATTGGAGGAGTCTCTAGATATTGTGCTCTAGCTTGCGCCTTAGTCTCGTAGATCTTCTTAAAGAGTTATAGGAATTCATCTTGGTGTCCAAATGATTGGACTATGTAGTCTCCTTCAGGTATGTCAACTCCTTATTCTTGCAAAAGTCTCTCTCTTCTAGCTTTTTGAAGGCGACCCGCAAGTGTTTCGTTTGAATAGGCATAGAGTTAGCAGTGTCTTTAGTGGAATGTGCACTATTCCAGCCACGTTGTGGTTGTAAGCCAACAAGTTGTTGGGTAGCCTTGGCTCTGTAGGCAACTGAGGAACTAGACTTGCTAAAGGTTCCAACTTCACATCCTAACTATTTACCAACTTCATTTCTCCCCAAGTATCTAAGAATTTATACTTAAATGATTGAATCTCACGACTTCACATGTCACAAATCATTACTTTTTCACAAACGACATGACATCATTTAATTGTATAAACGTCATAGCTAGAAACCGTGTTCTCTTTATCATCATTGAAATAAAAATTAAGTATTCAATTTGGAGATGTGTAGTCATCCATATGAATCAAACTTATTAACGATTCACCATGAAGGTGTTATTTGTTAGTATAACCGTCAATTTGTTCAGCATATATGGATGACTAAACGCTCTCCAAATAGATTGAATTTTTCTAGAGATGATCTTTAAATGATAAAAAAGATAATAAAGGTTCTTATTATGACATTTGTGTAGTGAATGATGTTGAAGGAAGAATGGTTCCTTAGACCATCTCCAACTGAAGGTTCTAGAAGGCCAGAGGGCCAAAAATAGCCCTAAAACCGTCTCTAACCGAGGGCCAAGCCAAAGGGCTCGTGTGCTCCAATGGACAAAAAATGGCCAATCGGCCGGCCTTGAGCGAGGCTGGAATTCAAACAACCAACGGTAACTAGCTGACGTCAGCTAGGTGTTATTTTTGAATATTTTTTTTTTTTTACAGTTGTTTTTTTTTTTTCTTTCAAAATTTGTTTAACATATTTTAAAAATTCTTTGTTTTTTTCCCTATAACTTCCTAAACCATTAAACATTACATAACATTAAGTAACATGAAACAACATTAAACACTATTAAACAACATTAAATAACATTAAACAACATAAAAATGATACAACATATAAAAAAAAACATTTAACAACACGAAACTTAAACAACACTTTTAAAAACATTTAACAACATAAAATTTAAATGTCTACTTCATGCTTATTTTGGCCCAAAGATGTGCAACAAGATCCTGTTGTAGGTACCTGTTTGTAGCACGAGAACGTATCATTCTATAGCCTCATGTACTCATTTATAGAGATACTACCAGTTCCTGGATTGAAGGGCAAATTAGGCCCATCATATATTTTTGCACGAGCCCTTCTTGACCTATTTAGATCATCTTGGTCGTCATTGAACTCCCCATCAATTACCCATCTCGCTCATTCTCCATAATCATATTGTGTAATATGATGCAAGACATCATGATGGAGTCCAAATTTCACGACTCCAACCTCTTGCCGGTTCGTGATCGACTCCACCCTTTTACATGTTCATTTAGTTTTCGTTATGTATACTCAAGAAAGAGCAAAAGTATGTGTATGTGAGAGAGATAAGGAATTGAGAAGGAAGAAGAGAGGAGGGAGAGTGAAGTTAGATTATACGAAAAAAAAAAAAAAACAAAAGAAAGTGAAAACAACTTAAAATATATTCAATTTTTTTTCTGTGTTAAACCCTTTACATCTTGAAGAAAGTTAAGGTTTCATTATAAAACTAATTGGCAATATACCTAACTTTTTATAAGTCCATGCAAGTTCCTTCATCTCATCAATGTGTATTCATTCTCAACACACTCCTTCACGTGTGACGAATTTTCAAGTTTAATACTGTGAACAACACAAACAAGGTGACTTGGAGCACATGTGGTCGTTGAGCTTCAGACGTGGGGCAACCAGCTCTGATACCATAAAAAAAGTTGAAGTTCTACCGTAAATTCAATTGGCAATATGAAAAGTAGCCCAACCTTTTGTAAGTTGTTGCAAAGTTTCTCATTTCACCAATGTTAAACTCTTTTAACTTCACATTCTTTTCACATTTCTTCCTCCAAGCTCCTTCCACTCTTATTTCCTTATTTGTTTCTCCTACATTTTTTTTCTTTATTTATTTATAACACAGAAAATAAATAGGCAATCTAAAAAATAAATTCACATTGTACTTTTTACCATTATGATATAAATTCACATTCTTTTTCTTTATTTATTTATAATGGCATAAATGCATATCTGGAATTTGCACTGGAACAGTGAAATTGGTGAAGCGTCAAATTAAATACATCAAAGTCAAATCAATGCCAGAATGCAATCTCCCTCTTTTATTTTTTTTTTTCTTTTTAAATTTTTATATTTTGCTTCCATACGTGTTATGACAGATATACCAAAAAACCATGCATCAAGTTTGACCGAAAAGAAACAATTATTGGCCTACACTAACACTACTAGACATGCTAAAAACTTGAAATGAAGCCCGTGATCGATAGTAGACCAGGTGACACCAATGGAATGTAGTTATCACATAACATAAATGTCTATCCAAAATTTTACTTTATATTTATTTACTTTACAGGTGTGGCTTGTGTAAGTCATGTTTGCGGCTAAATTCTTTAGTGTAACCATATTACGTTTATTTGCCTTTTTCTGGAGTATTTCTAGTGAAGAGCCTCACATCTGAAATGTAAAAAAAATCATATTTACATCTTATTTTACATTTTCGGAAGACATGAATGTGAAGTTTGCTTCAATGGAATAGATTCATATTTGATATCTAATTTTATGTTTCTCTTTGTAACTCATGGAGTCAACATTCTAAAGATGTAAAAAATGATGTATATCGAAGTTTTCCGGCCAACAAGAAATGCAAAATATCATAAAAGAAAAGCATTGTGCATCTCTTATTAAAAATGCTTTACTATAGATAGAGTAGGATATGCTGCAATTTTACGAAGAACAGCTTACATGGCATGAGTATATTGTCATATGCCGTTTCGTGTCAATGAAATAAGGACATTTGGAGGACCGTAACAGTGTACCCGTTCAAAGATGTGTCCAGGAGGACCAGGACCACCAACCAAGCGTGAATCAGCAAGAAACTCAGTTGTGGTTGTGGGGTAGCTTAAATTATTCTGGAATTTCAACTGTATGCATAGTAAAAGCCCACCCAACATATATCAATACCAGGCTTTTAATTGAGCTCTTTTAAATTAAATTGCTGATACGAAGGACAACTTATTATTCCCTCACAACATGAGATGGTCAGACTTTCATTTAACAAATAAATTACTATAAAAAATAACTGTGGTACAAGGTAAATTTCCAAGCGGGAACTCTTACACCCATCCAATGCAATGGAAGTTTCACTATTGAGTAAATTCAACAACACGAATATGACGAGCTATGGTGAAAACAAAAAATGCTGTATTACCGCGGGATGAAGGATCTGGCTTAAAGTTGTCAAGAAACTCCTCAAATCATCTGACCCTGATACGTTCTCTATTTCTTTCGAAGTACCTCCAACTGTTGTCATAACCTGTCACAGAATTCTAGACCTTCTCATCCACGCCAGAAGATTCTGATAATAAGCCACTGTTCTTTTGGGATTTGCTGCTTGGAAGACGCTCCTTGCCTCCTGGCTTGGATGAGGCATTGCCGTACCAGATCATTCCCAATATCGCGATGAACATACCTAGGACTACTTGAAGATTGAGACCCTCCTTCCCGAAGAATATGAACCCTAAGATCAAGACCAGAATTGTCTTCATATGGCCAAGGACTTGAAATGACACAGCAGTAAATCTACCAATGCAGATGAACTGGCTGAGGTTGGTCCCAACCGCGATGGTGCAAGACAGGACAATTAATGACTACACAAAACAAATAGACACCCAAATGTCATTTCCGCTGTAAGCAAAATGCAGGTAGTCATATGTCATAATAACCACTGTAAGAAAAATGGTAGAGTTGCAGCATATTACTCCTAACATGGTTCATACACAAGAACATTCAATCTCAATTCATTTTTATTTGTCCGAAATGACCTATTGTATAATGGTCTAACTAAAGTTTGCTTAACAACCAGGACTATTTGTGTCAATCAGGCCCTATGAGGGAAAAAAACAACAGGAAAAAAAAGTCATGTACATTATAAAGATTATCATAAAGAAGAAACTGTGGATTACATGAAAGATGAAAATCAATTGACCATGCTTAAGAAATGATCACTTTTTATTCAATTTCATAGGTTGAAAAAGAACAAATTCATCAATAAGATCAACAGAGAAATGAGAGACACCACAGATCTTGCCGTTATTGCACACAGAAGAAACGGACTTGTGTTTATAACGTTTTGACATCAAAGGGTTTCAAATATAATGGTGTAACATTGCCAATAAGATGATGTGTGCACCATTGTTGGCTTGAAGTAGTAATGTGTTTTCTGCGCTGATATTGGCACAGTTTCAAGTTGATACAATACAGAGAGAGGAAAGATGGTTTCTTTTCCTAGTAAATAATACTGCCAAAGGCCAAAAGGTTAATTGATTTGGCACCATAAATCACTTACGGAATTTGCCAAGAAATTTTTTCAAGTTCACCAGATTAGGAGCTGCCCATGTTTAAAAATACCATGACGTTATTAACACAACCACACGATTAGAGCTTGACACCACAATTGGAACAATAATCAACATAATACACTGGAGCAACCAAGGATCTAGCAATATATACTAACTTAAATATCATGCAAACTTGTCATGGAATACAAAGGAAAAAACACTAATATCTATTTTGAAGGGTAATCGAAAAAAATGAATATGCTGACATTGCTGAGACATGCAGTCACAAGCAAAGACATGGGCCTAACTTTCAAAGCACATGCAACTGAGCATGAATAATGGATGAATATTATTCACATAAAGGTTCATGAATCATTAAGTAATTGGGCTCAACTACGAAGGCATACTTGTATCTATAGATAATAAGATTATCATCTATAACTTACCATGGATATCAAATGATAGTCGTACGCGTAAACTATTTTATTTGTCAACCAGTAGTCCAAGAAGGGGCCTAATATCAGCAAAGATGCAGCCTGTACTGGCGCAGTATGTCCCAATAAATTGAAAGATCCAAGAGAATACTTCCGTTGAAGAGAGTGTACATACTGCACAAACATAGATAGTGAACAATGTCGCAAAGGGATAAATTAAAAAAAAAATGACTAAAGTAGAGCTTGGAGTTGACCAACATTAGTCAATCCACGTCTATGAACACATTCTATACACAAACTGATCTGAAAAATCATCATCACACAGCCCCACCCATCTAGAAAGAATATGGCTATTGTATTGTTAGCTGTTTAAACAATTTGAACATTTCTTAAGTGGATGCATATTAATAATAATACATGGAAACATCAATGAAGTTGTAATTTCAAATGTTGAGCCTCAGGAGACCAAGACTAGCTCAACGACCCCTAACCCAGTCCATCCTGGTCCTATCTATATAAGATCAAGAGTTTCAGTTAAGATGTACTTACATGCTGTTGTAGGGCAGTGCTCCAAACTGCCACTAAAGCAGCTATAAAACCCTTGGCATTGACACTGACATCAGTAACAGTACAAACTGCAACTCCAAGGAGAACCAGTGCTATGCTTAGCTTTGTGCCCCTTGAGTAACGCACGTTGTCCAAGACAACTTCTAGAAAACATGATACTGGTATCATAGTCAGCTTCGCGATCTGACAATAAAATTTGAAAGCAAAACCATGTTAATTTATCAAATCTATATCACGAAGAGAAAAAACATGTAATAGTCACTAGTTTACAACCACTCACCTGATAGAATCCCACAGAGTTCCACATTAAACTCACATTCATGCCGACTATGGAGAAATTCGCAAATAAAACAAACTTCAAAAGATCAGGTAATGGTAGCTGAGAGGGCTGGATATATCCCAGCCATTTAAGAACAACAGTCAGTAAGGTTGTTGTGGCAAAATGCAGACCCGTTAATGTTGTAGCTGCATTACATAGAGAAAAATGTAAAGATGGATGAAAATCTTCTGGTACAAAAATAAAATCTTTTGTTTCTTTTGGAGCAGCAGTATGTAAGATGGCTTAGATTACATAGGAGGAGCTAATTAAGGCCTGCATGGGCCACCTGACCCTTCTCATATTTTGCCTATTTTGTGTTCATTCATATCCAGATCTTATCATCACTATCATCAATCCATCTACTTTAGCATGCCAAATTATTTCACCATCATCCCTAAATTTCAACTCTTGCTGCTCACAAGAACAAGGGGGCCTAGAGACTACAACAAATCTGAGAAAAATCATTATAGAGGTAGAGCCTACAAGTCTATAATGAATTGGGATATCTATGCATTTTCGTTTTCCTTTCCTGCACCACCTAACAGTCATAACTATCAGAACCAAAACCATTACGTAGAATTAACATTTAAAAAAAAAAATATGTGTCCTCTTTAGTAAACTTTATGCAATGATTTTCAGGACCATCATTAAGTCGTAGAGGTTTTATTTATATCCAAAATCAAATAGATCCTTCTCCACACGCCAATCATAAAACGAGTGCAAAGTTTACTTCCAACTTCCAATATCTAGTTATCCATCGACTCATTATAAGCCATGTCTATAAACTCCCCAACCCTCCCCCTTACCTATTGTTTTGTAAGTGATCTATATTCATTGAGGAAAGTATGGCTTCAAAGTTACTGACAACTCCCTACATTGAAAACTAAAGAAGGTAATTTTCCAACTCAGGAGAGCAAACAGAAACCTGAAAGCCAAGAATAAACATTTTCATAACGATTTTAAAAACATAACAATATATAAAGAAAAAAGAAGCGTCCTTTACACCATTTCAATATGATTTCTAAGAGCTAAAATCCTCAGACATTAATAGATGTTATAAAAAAGGGCATCAAACTGAATACTGATTCGATATGGGAATGCGAATGAAGAAACTCAGTGAACAAAACAGGACAACAGAAACTTACCAAAACTGAAACCGTGCGTAGCCATCAACGATTTATTGACAATGATTATTCCAACAGATGTGACAACATTGAACAACCATGAGGCAGCATCAAGAGAAGCCTTCCGATCAGCTTTGCCTGCTGAAGCCATTTTTAACTTGTATAGATCCTACTTGATCACCAGATTCTCCACTGCTTACTTGGTCTTCATATACCAATACGCCAGCCCGAATCACTATCTGTGTAGGATTAGGGCATAATGTCACACACCTTCAATACTAAAATCAGCATTTTTCAAATTAACCACAGAAGAAACAATTAAATTTCGAGATTGATCCAAGATTTGAATCTCTACACACAAAAAATAAAAAAAAATAAAAAAAAAACACGAATTCAATGCAATAATATAACAAGGAACACAAAAGGGAAAACAATTTCCAAAGTCTGAAGCGCCATTGTTACAATTCCAAACAGATCCATGAAAAATCAGAGGGAAACAAAGTATGATAATATAATTCGAATTTCAAATCGCATAACAGATAACAGTAAATGTAAGTCAATCCAAAGAAGCAGCCAGCAACCCAATTAAAGAAAATCTGCAAAATCTTTAACTTCCCGGGAAAACGAAAAGCTTCAATGTAAAAAGCGAGTGGGAAGCTGAAAGTAGGAACCTGAGGGACGAAGACGGAGAAGAAGAAGAGGAAGATTGAGAGGAGGCCTGGGGATTTGCGGAGGTAATAAAAATAGGAGGTGTTTGAGAGAAGAACAACGTCCGGAATTCGATGGCGTTTGAGGAATTGAACAACGCCGTCCTCGTCGCCATTAAAGACAGAGATGGAGACGTTAGACTGCGAAAGTGAATCAACACTCTCTCTCTTTCTCTGCATTTTATTTTATTATTTTATAATTAGTTTTATTTTAATAAATCTTAATTGGGTTTAGATTAGGAGAATGTGCTTCATTTTGTGCTCATTCCGTCGTACAGGGAGAGCCGGAATATCTTTTTGGCTAAACTGCCAATTTGCCTTCTGAGCTATCACGTAACTTTCGATTTCAACCAAATTAATGTTAACTCTTATCACATGCTATTGACCCTAAAAGCTACCAAACTTACGTGGCATGCAAGCCGAGTAATTAATAAGCTAACTACGTTATTCGGTTGTGTGCAAGGCGTGCCAACTCATCGCTCGAGCTCGGGCGGGGAGTAAAATGTGTTGATGTTGCGTTGAACGTGATGCTGACTTCTTGATCTTGCGACTGCGGTAGAGGAAGGAACATGTCTCGACCTTTGGGTTCTAGAGCCTGAAGACAAGGCTACTACTTTTACGAAGTTCAATATCAGATTAGGCTTTCAATGTGCCGAATGTAGTAACCTGTAGCACCTCACTTCGCCGAGAAGGCTGATGAGATGACCTCCACCAACAAGAACGCAAAAATCCTTATCGATTGAGACTTGGATAAATAGCCAATCGATCTCGAAGCAGTGTTGTTTATCCAAATTGAAGGTGTTCCTCGGTCAGCTGATTCTACGGCTCCAGTGTTGTTTATCTAAACTGAAGATGTCGCCGATTGAATTCACAGTGCTGTTTATCCAAACTGAAGATGTGTTGGCGGAAAAAGAAAATAAAAATCTCAAGGTGTTTGAGAGGTTTGCGCAGGTCAATTTGTATGTTGAATTGGAGGGCTTTGAATGATGCACTTCCTCCTTTATTTATAGTAGTGAACCTACTCCTGGTCGAACCAGAGATGTACTCAGGCTAGAACTCCTTATCCCAATCGGATTATGATTCGGCCAATCCTAGTTCCAATAGGTTCCTGAACTAGGCTTTATAATGAACCAGATTTATTCCCTAATTCTCAGTGCCTTCAGCTTTGAGACCCCTTATTGTACCAGGATTCGCCCTCTTTGCTTATCCAAATAAATCCTTCTCACAATAGGACTCAGCCAACTTGATTAGGCGGCCTTATGGCGGCAGGACGGCCCATAATAGTTCTGGAATAGTACTGGGCCAAAAACAAACCTAGGCTTGGCCCAATAAAATTATTTTGGGCTCAAACACATGCACACCATGTGACTTTCCTTTGTGGACAAAAACGTCACTTCAATAGACATTCAGACACAAAAGCTATAGAATATCACACATATTTGCATAGGTTTATATTTTACAAATCCAAGATTTTTAATTATTTTAAAAAAATGAAGTGATCGAACTACCCTGATATGTTGTGCACATGCTTCCATTTAACATAAATTTGGATGGAATGAATGAAAAATTAACAGCAGGGGCAAATCAGTCAAAAAAATTAGTTTAAATCCTTAATTTTCCAATTAAAAAGTTCATGGGGGAAATCGAAAGTTAAGTAATAGTTCAGGGGGCAAATCGTCAATTTACTTTATCTTTTTTTATCTTTTGTAAGCTATGAGAAAATCGTAATTAACGTATTCAATTGGAATTTTAAGTGAAATTTACGTAAATTTTAATATCTTTGATTTTGGCCATGGCTTTACCCTTCTTGTACAAAGTGTTTAAGTTCGAACTGATGATGATTGAGTTTTTGTTTCATGTACATCATTTTCAAACAAGTACGTCAATTTATTAAATAAAGAGAACTACGAAAACATGTTCATGAAAAAGTCTGCCTCAAAAAGGTCATTTCAATCTAGATCTCAATAATGATGAAAATTACAACAAAATATGATCAATTGCAAAACCATATTATTTGATTAATGTACATCATTTAGATATTAGGATTATCATGAGTGTCAATCACTGTTCTAAAAATTCCTGTATAGGCGCTAGACAGCTAATTACCTCCCTGATTAATTCATAAGCGTTTGAAAACTAAGAAATGGTGTAACATCCCATATCGCGCAGGGGAGTGAATCATGTAAGCCTTATATGTATATTCTCATCTCTACCTAGCACGAGCCATTTTGGGAGCTCACTAGCTTTGGGTTCCATCGGAACTCCGAAGTTAAGCGAGTTGGGGCTGAGAGCATTCCCATGATGGGTAATCCACCGGGAAGTTCTCGTGTGAGTTCCTAGAAACAAAACCATGAGGACGTGGTCAGGGCCCAAAGTGAACAATATCGTGCTACGGTGGTGGAGCGGGCCCAGGATGTGGTAGGGGCCCGGGCCGGGATGTGACAATTTGGTATCAGAGCCTAGCCCTGGCTGTGATGTGCCGACGAGGACGTTGGGCCCCTAAGGGGTGTGGATTGTAACATCTCACATTGCCCTGAGGAGTGAATCATGTAAACCTTTATATGTATATTCCAATCTCTACCTAACATGAGGCCTTTTGGGAGCTCATTGACTTCAGGTTCTGTCAGAACTCCGAAGTTAAGTGAGTTGGGGCTGAGAGCATTCCTATGATGGGTAACCCACCAGGAAGTTCTTGTGTGAGTTCCTAGAAACAAAACTATGAAGGCGTGGTCGGGGCCCAAAGTGAATAATATCGTGCTACGGTGGTGGAACAGGCCCGGGATGTGACAAATGGCGTCTAGACCTGCTTAGTCACCCACCTAGGTCGAGTCTCACTTAGACAAAAATTAGATAACTTACATTTTTCATTTTGTTTTTTTTTTTTTTTTTACATTATTTTAAGATACTTGTTGAATAATTGGATAACACTCATTATATACTTGGCCTCATGTTTTCAATATGTTCTAATACTTTATATTCTATATGTTATTTTATTTTACAATTTATGTATCCCCATGGATGGAGGGAGGTAAGGCCCAATGGGGGCACATGCCCCCTCTCATCCCTTTTTTTTTCATTACAAATTATTCAATTAATCATTCTCATTTTTTTTTGCTTTGCAAATTATTCAATTAATCATATTAAAATAATAAAAATCTTCTTTTAGTTTTTAAATGCCCCTCCATCTTGTATATTTTTCTCTTGCACTAATGTCTAAACCTTGTTGAGTTCCATGTATTTGGTTAATTAGTACAAATGAGCATTAGATTGTCAACAATTAAAGACAAAATTAGACAATAGAGTAATAAAATTAGGCATTTTGTAATTAATTTTTTCAGCATTTGTAAAAGAACTAGCTTTATTTGTCCAAAAAATGAGCTCAAATTTTTTAAGGTGCCTTGTGACAGCCTGTCCGAATTATTTATACTTACCGTAGGTGCGAAAAGGCTAAAATGCCCTTGGATGTTAATTGGTGTTGTGGGGTGTTGTTTAGTTGTTTCTTTTGGTTGTTGACTCATCTAAGACCACACACCCACACACACACCCATACCACACTCCCGTGCCATCTCTCTCTCTCCTCCCTTTTTCGATTTTCTGCAACATCCGTATAAGTTGTACGGACAACACCAAACCAACCCATTTCTGTGCAGATCGAGCTCGTGTTTAGTACCATCACCTTCATCTCATCATCACAAACTCATCTATACCAGTTTTTAGACGTGAAACCCTCGAAAACCTAAGAACCAGGGAACCCCGATTTTGTGCACTATTCATGCACACGTGATCATGGGGTTTTAGAAGTTTTTAAGTTCATAGGAAGCTTTAGAATACTCTCACGAAGCTTGGAGAAGCACTTTGGAAGAAATTGGACGTCGCGAAGGCTACGAGTGGCGAGTAGCAGGTTTGGTTGGAATTTCGTGGTTTCTCCAGCAAGATTCCATGAATTTGAGGGCTTGAAAGTGGTAAGGTTTTGTTCTACTTGTTGTAAGCTTCATTTTGGTATCAATTTCGTGGAATTTGGTTGAGAAATGAAGAAGTTATGAAGTTTTGAAAATTTTCCAGTTTCTGGCGAGAATTCGAGTTGCAGATGGCGAGGTTAACGATGACGGCCAGCGAGACTCACCGAAGAAGACAAGAAATATTCCATCAACTTTGACGGAATATACTAATGGCATCAGGTATATATAACGCTATATTCCATTTTTGGACGGAATATTCCCTAACACCGTTAGGGTTACCACACGTGTGCCAGGCATGTGCCTGCACGTGGCCGGCGCGTGGCGACGCATGGGAGGTCAGAAAATTATTTTAAAAATATGAGGATGTTCGTGAGGTTGAGTAGATCACATTGGTATATCCGAGCACCCCATTTAAGCATTCTATAAGAAGTTATTACCTAGTTTTGGTTATGTGCTTTAAATTGACGTTTTTATACTTGTTTCGTATATAGGTTAGACTTATCTTGAGGACGAGCGCAGTCACTCGAGACAAGTGGGTTACGACCCTTCCACATATCAGTGAGTGGGCTTTTGGTTTTCTGTATATACCTATATACTTGTGGTTTTTCCTAGAAAATGAAATGGAATGTTTATATGTTTTAAATGCCATACATAACGTTTGCCTATTTATTTATGCATTAGTAGTGCATATGTTTAGTGCTGCGGACGCACAGGTAAGTGCTAGATGAGTTTATGGCTTATGGTTGTGAATTAGTGGTTATGTGAGATGCATAGAGAGCTCATAACCTGCACCCCCGGTGTTAGTACTCCTGCCCAGAGTAGGGCACAGTCCTTCACGTGATGTTCACCTCCCGCACTACACGCTCATCTTGGATCGAAGTTAGGTGCACAGTCCTGTCGTACAGACCACTATAGGTGGTTCCGACTCGTAGGTGACCCGCAATTATTCGCCCAGTCTTCACGTGATCCTAGCACTTGAGCGTATTTATTTACACCCAGTCCTGTCGTACATACCACTTTAGGTGGTTCCGACTCGTGTGCAGGTATAGTTAGTAAGTTGGGAATTTGAGCTCTAGATTCAGCCGTACAGGTCACGTTAGGTGACTTCGGTTGACATGTTACTTGCATTGCTTAACATTACCTGGGTTACTTACATTTTATGTGGAGGCATTCGACATGGCATATTTCTGAACATGTTTTTGATATAT